TCACCAAGGCTTAAAAATTGCTAGACATACTATGTTTTCCCCCCAGGAAATTTTCAAGGCTCTAATCATTAGACTCTTTGTCCAACTGAGTTTTCTGAGATATTTGTATGGAATTGAGCCACGAACAACTACTACATTTCATTAAATCTGAGACACCATAAATTATAAGAAATACCATCTCCAGTAATACGATCAGTTATTGGAAAAAAAGAAAAACCATCATTTTACGTGCCACTAAGAAGAAAATGTTGGCTACTAAACTATGACACACTATCATTTGAAAGGTGCATCCCAATTTCAAAATGAATAAAAGTGGGAAAGTGTGGTAGAACATAGTCTGTAGCAGGTACTGTGTATATAATCATTGCCCAGTTCCTGATGTACAGAATGTGAGAGTGCTCCCCTCTGCTACAGTAACCTCCAGGTTCAAAAGGAAAAAGAAAATACACCTTAAACATGGTGAATGGTGCTTGTTTTTATTACAGAGATGAAGACCCAGAGAAAGAAGATTTTCTAAAAGTTTTTTTCAAGTTATCTAGTCAGTATCTAAAAGCTTGGCACTGCAGAGCAGAGCATGTAAACTTCTTGCTTTAGGGAAGCAAAAATATAAAGGGGTTCTAGCCTGTAGGTAAGTTTCTAATAGACTCCTAATGATTTACTCTTCTAAGGAAATTATATTTGACAGCAGTGCTTATCAAACTTTAATGTGCATACAAATCGTCTGGGGAGTCTTGTCAAAATTCAGGTTTTGATTCGTTCGCTCTGAGGTATGATCTGAGATTCTGTGTTTCTGATAAGCTCCCAGGTGATGCTAACGCTGTTGGCCCACTGACTTGGAGTAGTAAGACTTTTAGCCAGGCGCGGTGGCCCACGCCTGTAATCCCAGCACTTTGGGAGGCTGAGGTGGGCGGATGATGAGGTCAAGAGATGGAGACCATCCTGGCCAACATGGTGAAACCCTGTCTCTACTAAAAAATACAAAAATTAGCTGGGCGTGGTGGTGCGCGCCACTACACTCCAGCCTGGTGGCTGGCGACAGAGGCAGACTCTGTCTAAAAAAAAAAAAAAAGACTTTTAATGTTTACAAAGCATTTTCATATATGCTACCTAGCCGTGTGAATTAGACTTTGTTGAGTTTTGATTATCCCCATTTTTGAAGATGAATTAAGGTCCATTTGAAACTCAAACCCCTGACTTTTATCTGTATCACATTGTATGGAAGTTTTCAAACAAAACCTATGAAAGTAACCTAGCACTGGTTACCTAAAATAAATACAGTGAAACCTAGAATAGCAAGTCATCAAGTTTCACGACCCAAATGGATGTATACTACGAATGTGTATACATTCTCTAGACCAAAAACCAGATACTCCCAACAGAACAAACAGAAAGACCATACCAAGATATTATTTCTAAAGAATCTTTCTTCTGCGAGGTTAAGGTGGCCATTGCCCTAACTGAAGTTTAGAGTGGTCTTTTCGTTTCCCTGCACACCATAAACCAGCAAGGTAGAAATCATGATCTACTTTTTGGCTGGCTAGGCTTTCACCTATTTGAAAAAGATCAGCTGGTATTCCAGACATCTAGGTCTTTAGATAGCAATCTCACCCATGGGCCTAAAAATACAGTAATTACATCTGATTTTGTAACCACCCTGAACCATGGGGCCGGCACCTGTTCTACTCCAAGAATAAATAAAATAAAGGATACAAAAAAAAAAAAGATTTTGCTGATATTTTGAGTTCTCCTATTATTCTGAAGACTGATCTCCTGAAGTTTGAGATTCCTATGTGGAATACTACCAAAAATGTACAGCAAATGCTAAGAACAAAATATGGTTGTCAGATTCTTCTTGTTGGCCTGAAAGTATTATTAGCACAGAAGCCAAAACCACTAACCTGAGACCATTTGTACAATCAGAATGAATTCAAGCTAGACAAAGTACTAAACAGCCTTCAAACTAGCTGTAACCTGGAAACTTCACTGAAAATGGTAAACCACTATACAGATTTATTTTAGCTCTCAATCACCTTTACCTGAAAAGTTAGTCTTCATTATCTGTTGCCAGTGTGTGAGAAGAGTGCCTTCTTAGTCAGGTCTTCTTCTAGACCTGCTTTAAGGTCTACAATCACTATACCATCAGAGATGGTGTTTTAGGCTCTCAGAGTTAAAGTGAGGCTTCCTGGAGTTAATGTTGATATAGCTACCCCAAAAGTAAAAATACTTGGATGCCCTGACCCCATATATGACCAAGTACCATGCCTTTATAACAATTATCTACAAGAAGCAGATACCCTATGTTCCTGGTTCTCTGAATTCAACACTTTAAATGACAGACTAGATTTTAAAAAGAAAAGGCTCACTTTCCTCAAGAAGAGGCATGCATACTATGACAACCATAAAGTGATTCAGGCTTCCACAAAAAGAGCTTTGGTCAGATGTCATCCTGACAAAGAGGCAGAGAAAAGCCAGGTTATGTGTAAGATTAAGAGGATACAACCATAAACCTGATAACAAGTTCACTGGCCAAGCGCAGTGGCTCACACCTGTAATCCCAGCACTTTGGGAGGCCAAGCCAGGCAAATCATCTAAGGTCAGGAGTCTGAGACCAACCTGGCCAACATGCTGAAACCCTGTCTCTACTAAAAATACAAAAATTAGCCAGGCATCGTGGCAGGCGCCTGTAATCCCAGCTACTGGGGAGGCTGAGGCAGGAGAATCGCTTGAACCCGTGAGGTGGAGGTTGCAAAGAGCCAAGATCGTGCCATTGCACTCCAGCCTAGGCGACGAGCAAAACTCCATCTCAATAATAATAATCATAATAATTGGTTCACTAAGCCACAGGTCTCCATCCACCATAAGACTGTATATGCCAACAAATGGCTTGATGTCACCAGACCAGTCCTCTTGTATCACTCTATTGATGCAACCTAAGTTAAACTATGGGATAATATTCCATTATCCACGATCTTCCTTCTAAAAGAAGCTGGAACACAGATTTGGAGAGTTTTCATTTATTTTTATGCATACCTCAGAAGCTCAGTAAATTATCTTGATAGCTAGAGTCCAATCTTCTGACCCCATCAATCTAGTCAGAGGTCTTCCCTCTTCTAGTCACAACTCTTTTGTAAAAGAGCTAAATCACCAGTTTCCCAGGACAACTAAGGTAGCGAATCCAAATGATACAGCTTTTGTCATCAAAATAACTGTCTAACGAGATGATTAAAAAAGAAAAAGTAAAGAGAAAAATAAGGAGCAAAGTGATTCAATCCCACCATGTATCTTTCTCCTAATTCCAACTATTTTTCTGCTTCCTACAAGCTTCACAGTAATGCAGGCATACGCCTCCTGGTTAGTGCCCAAGAATTAAAAACTGATCACACACATGACAGAGAATTCACAGCTAGAGTCACAGGTTTCAGTTCACCACACTAGCAACCTACTGACGCACAACACTAATTTCTGCTGAGGAATCTGTGCTCATAAGATGAAGAAAGAGAGAAGACAAAAAAAAAAAAAAAAAAAAAAAAAAAAAAAAAAAAAAAAAAAAAAAAAAAAAAAAAAAGAAGACAAAAAAAAAAAAAAAAGAGGTGAGCTGGGGATAGAGTGAAAAAGGAGAAGTAACTCCATTCTTTCCATGAGATAATAGGCAAATGATCACTTAGCCTGAGCCCATTCCTCACATCCAAAAGGTAGATCTTGTTCTTCCCAAGCAGCCCCTTGGGAAGGTTCAAATAAAAGAGGCCATCTCCTATCTGATTCACAAGCTACTAAACCTGACCTAGGTCTCTGCAGGGTCAAAACACCCCAAAGCAATCAGGTCAGCTTTAGAATAGCTAGTACTTAAGAACTGTACTTGACACTTGAGGAAGCTGCATCAAAAATAAACTACTGTTACTCTAACAAAATTTAACCTGGAATAGGGAAAACAGGACCAAGCCTCTGATACCCAGTAAAAGATGTATGACACTAAGAAGTACTGAGCAACAAATGCTATTAAAGAAAGATAGTTATAATTATTAATATACTTTGTGGGAAAGAACCTTCTCTCCCACAAGTTATAATAAAATCTCTTAAATGACTGCTATCAGGTAGTATTAGCCCAAAATGACTTCAGGGAGAAATGACTTTGAAAAAGTACAAAATAAGTTAGACAAGAGAAAGGGAGGGAAGATAGATTCATGTGCCTTTCATGGCCTTCCTATCTGTGACTTGGAATATGACAACAGTCATAGAATACAAAATGAGGAAGACTAAAATGGAAATACATCATCTTAAGCCTTCTTGATCCAGAAAGTTAATGATAAAGAAAGAAATCATTCTGAGAAAGGCTGTCACAGATGCTTATGGAAAAATGCTAACAACTTGAAAGAGGCTATAGACACAGAGACTTAACTTACTACAGTTTAGCATCAGAGAGGTCAGTGACGATGAATCCAAAAAATTCAGAAGAAAGAATTAACAGAATCTCTAATTTCTTGACAGGCCAGGTGTGAGAAATAAAGCTGTTCAAGGAGGGCCAAAGAGGATTCTATAATTAAATCACAGCTAACAAAACAAGAAGTGCCCTATAATCTGATCCATATTAAGGTTTCTCGAGTACTGGCAAATCACTGATCTCAAATCTGGAATTCCCTGTTAACAACCCAGCATCAGCTTTCTTTTTTTACTTCCTTCCCAACCCCTTTTTGTTTTTATTTTAAAGTAAAAATGGTGTTTTCTGATAGACCAATGAACTTTGATCTAGATTTCAGTTACCTCACATTACTATCAATGTGTCCGCCCAAAACATTATTACTTTAGTTTTTAAAAGTTTAGTTTACATCTCCTAGTATGTTTGCTGAGTTCTATTTACAACGAACATATCTGAAAATACCCTGTAATTAGTGCTGTCAAGGAAACTAAACAGGCATGTTTTGCTTTAGGGTAAAAAAGATAGATAGAGAGAGAGAGGGAGAGAGAGAGAGAGAGATAGGAACAAGTTCCTCAAGCCAACTTACAAATCCTCCTTTTCTTAGACAGGAATCGCCCGGGGATGAGCTCAACACATACTCCACCATGCTAACGCCTAGTCCCCCACTCTCCGATCGTGGGGACAGTACAGAATTGACCTCACTGTTCACATGGAAACTCTGACCAGGTCTTCTCTGCACCATGATTGGCTGGGAAACTGAATGATCTACAAAAAAGATACACAAGCATGATACAGTGCAGCCAGAGGCTCAAACAAATTATGAGTGATGTCTAATGGATAAACCAATGGAATCAGGAAACTTGCCATGGTCAGTTGAGCCAAAACCTCCTATTGTGTCTTTCACTGTATGATATTCAACATAAGCTAAGGAAATGGAACACACCCCTCATTTATCCAGGATAGCAGAAGAATACAACCGTTTATCTAGCTTATCTGGTTTGTCTAGCTAGGTGGATAAAATGTTTACCCCTTTATACATAAAAGGATTTCTTTTTAATCTATTTTATTGATAATATTACTAAAACAAAATACAATTTTACTGCCCTTTTTAAAAACAACAATATAATTTGTTCTTTTCTGATAATTCACTGTCATCATGAGGTTCCATGCTTACATTGTGCTGTAACATACCACACTGGCTTTTGGGTTTTCTGTCTCCTTCCTCCCTAACACCTGTCACTTTTTCTGCTGTCAGTGTGTCTGCCTCTGTAAGTTCTCCCCATCCCTCTTCAGGGGTAGTCTGCCAGAAGAATGTCCATGCCCAGTGACTTGATTTGGTCCCAATCACATTTAAAGATCGATCATTCTATACACAGTACACAAGGGCAAGGGGAAAAAAAGAAACATGAACTTCAAATGGCAGGTGTGGATATTCTAATTCCAAGTATGCTGACAGCAGTACAGAACAAAACATTATAGCTGAAAGTATGGTCATTTCAAATAAGACCATTCCCCTGTGGCTAGCACTTCAGAAAATATTGAAGATTTGATTTTGTGTTAATTACGTTTTAATAAATTACATCATATAAAGCTCCTTAATGGCAATTACACTACAGGAGAGGACACTGCTTGACATGCTTATGTCACTGATGTAAAATTCATGACTTGCCAATTGCTGAGGAAAGGAGCTCTAAGACAGGCATAAATCACAGTACAGATGCTAGATCTAGATTACCTGATGTTCCCCAGGCACTGTCTCGCCATTGATCACCCAGGAATATTCCTTTTGGTCCATCTTTGCTGGATTCATCTGTTTCCCAAAACTTTTTACCTGGCAAGAGCTGCTGCAAATTAAAAATAATAGATGCTTTTAAAGAATTCATAAAGGATGAAAGTACAGCAGTCAACACTTTCTTTTAGACAAGGGTACTGAAGATGCTCACGTGCCCTGAAGGTCTTTAATTAATGTGTTCTGACTACACAACTGTGGTCAGAGAACTACTATATATTTGGTAAAAGTCACAGAGAGGCCTAAGGCAAGGCGGGGGGTGGGGATGGGGACACTGATCTAACTATCCAATACAAGCTCAACTTAAATCTAGAATTATTCACTTAACCAATGTCAAGATTTTTAAGGAGGAGGGAAGGGAACTAATAATGACCCCATTAGCTAACTGCTAAGTGGACTCTTACTGAAAAAGAATATCTACAACTACTAAAACACTTCTCTCTATATGTGTACTAACTACCAAAGTTACTCAAGGTGGAGCATAAACCCAGCTATGAACCTCAGCTATGGAATGCCAGAGGCAAAACTCACTTCTTTTATACACAGAGATTCCATTAACCAAAACACTTCCCAACCACAACTTTAACCTATTCCAAGATTTTGAAAGGACAGAAAAGCTATTCCTTCAGTACTGAAAGGGGAAAAAAAATCCCCTAACCTCCATTAATTTTTTTAACAATACTTGGTAATAGCCTTATAACTTCACAAATCATTCCATGCTTCAGAGAAATCAGGGATCACTGGCCCTAAGCCAACATGAGAAGTTTATACTAGCTTCAATTAAAAAATGCAAAGTACCTTTCAAGCAAGACACAGTACAGTTTCGCACAAGATCAAAGCACTAGTGACCAGGCTTACAAAGTAAAATTCCACAGAACTCCATCATTCTTGGTTCTGGTCATCAGCTTTACTCGCTAAAATGCCTCCGCTTATTTCCTCTCATCATGTTTTCAGCTGCTATTACACAGTAAACTAAGAAGTCTGAGATACTATTTAACCACCATTTTTGAGCACAAAAATATCTGGAGAGTTGAATCTCTCAGAGGAACACAATAAAAAACCAGAAAGCACAAAACATTTCCTCTCCTTAACAATAAAGGTTTAACCATTCCCATTTAACCCATAACCCAATAATAATGGGAAAATATTTATACTCTGCTTTCACTAAAATAAATCTCCACTTCCCAAATCTAATTTCTGGGTCAGTAGGCATAACTTTCATCTACCTGTAAGAGGCTCTATAATCTGTCTCAGGGACATAGGTTACTGCCTGAACCAAAGCAGTTTCCCATATACTTTGCTCTTCAGGACCTAATATATTGTTTACTAATTAAACAGGATCAGGACAAAAACACATTTTGGTCTGGCATTTAATTGCACAGATACTTAAGTTTCCTTGAAGATGAAGAGTTGTAAGTAGTAGTCTTCCTGGTATATTGCTTGCTACCTTAAGGGCACTTGGGGGAGGGCCGGAATCAGGGTAATATGGGAAAAAGCCTAGCAATGCTAAGCATGAGAGTCGGGAAGCACTGAACTGGACAACTTTGAAGTGCCCTAAGAAATCTTACTGAACCGCCCTGGGCCTCATTCTCTTTTTATTGATGAAGGAAATATCGTTCAAGTTGCTGTGATGATTAGAAATATTGTTGATCAGTGCCTAGCACAATAGGTTCTCAATAAATTTATTCAAAAAAATCACATCTAGGCAAAATAGCTGTCAAATCAGGTCACAGAGGGGATACTGAAAATTAATGTAAACTATGCAAAGGACAACTCAAGAATTTTTGAACTTATTTTTCTCCTTTTGGTCTCAAAAATCTCCTGTCTGAAGATTACAAATAAAATTTCTTTCCCATTGGTTGTACCCTTCCTTCAACTAAAACTCTGATTTTTTTCTCTTGTACTTTGTGGAAAGCAAGAACAACTACTCTTTTGCATTCCAGAAGAAAGAATGTCACCACAGGAGGGCCTCACTTGTTTCATGCTCCACATAATAGTGCAAAGAGCGCCAAAGTGATCAAAATCATTCTTGTCCTTTAAATTTTTTAATTAAGAGTTCATTCTTTACAAAAACTTGTAAATCTTGAGTTTTAAATAAACTCAAGGAACAGGGCCCCGTGTGGTGGCTCAATCCTGTAATCCCAGCACTTTGGGAGGCCGAGGCAGGCGGATCACCTGAGGTCAGGAGTTCCAGATTAGCCTGGCCAACATGGTGAGACCCTGTCTCTACTAAAAAGCACAAAAATTAGCTGGGTGTGGTAGTGAACACCTGAGTCTCAGGTACTCAGGAGGCTAAGGCACAAGAATCACTTGAACCAGGAAGGCAGAGGTTGCAGTGATCATACCACCACACTCCATGATGGGTGACAGAGTGAGACTCTGCATCTGGGAAAAAAAAAAATCCTCAAGGAATAGTTTCCAAAAGTACCAGCCTCCATATGCAAATATAGTCTTGTCCATAATTTGTAAAATTACTTAGAGAAAGCAGCAGCCTTTCAGCTCAAAGCTTCAAAACTCAGTTCTGGGATCCTCTCGCCTTTCATGATAGTGTACCAGGTTTTCATAATGTGAAAAGCAGGTGAACGAATAAATAAGCAAGGCTATTTTCTGAGTAAATTCTCTCAAAAGGAAACAATAATACAGCAAACATGAAGCAAAGTGCTATCAGGTTGGTGCAAAAGTAACTGCAGTTTTTGCCACTATGGCAAAGAAAGAAGAAAGCAAAAGACTAAACCAAGGTGCTTGGGCAAAGACAGAAGCAAAATTAGTAAAGCTCTTAAGTCTCTGGATCTACTTAGTTTTTCTCCCTTTCCTCCAAAATATATGCATCTACACTTAACTGCTCAGTTAGCAGCATCTGAAATGACTCTTAATGATCTTCACTTACAAGTATTCATGCCCAATGTAATCCCCTTCCCCTGACTGTGGGCTAGACCTATAACATGCCTCTAAGAAATAAAGTAAGGCAAGTCATGGGATGTTACTTTCAAGACGTTAAAAAGCTATGATTTCCATCTTGCTTGTCCTCTTGTATCTATTGTCCTGATTGCTTATTCTGATGATGACTGCTGCTATGTTATGAGCTGCCCCATACAGAGGCCACATGAAGCCAAGAGACATCTCTGGACAACAGCTACACATACAAAGCTATTGCTCCCCAGCTTCCCACTGAACTGTGCCTCTGCCCTGAATCATTTAAACCCAATTAGGAACTGAGGTCCTCGGTCCAACAACCTATGAGGAATGGATCCTGACATCAACCACGAGAGTGAGCTTGGAAACATACCTTTCCCCAATCAAGCTTTGGGACGCATGTAGCCACAGTTGAAATCATGACTGCAGCTTATGAAGGACCCTGAAGCAGACGACTCAGCAAAGCCATGCATGGGTTCCTGACCTATAGAAACTGTGAGGCTTAAACAACTGTCTTGTTTTAGGCAGGGCATGGTGGCTTATATCTGTAATCCCAGTACTTTGTAAGGCTGAGGCCCGAAGTCTAAGACTAGCCTCAGCAACAAACACAGAAAGACTTTAGCTTTACAAAGACTTTTTAAAAATTAGTCAGCAGTGGTGGCACACACATGTAGTCCCAGCTACTTAGAAGGTTGAGGTGGGAGGAATGCATGAGCCCAGAAGTTTGAAGCTGCAGTGAACTATGATTGCACTACTACACTCCTGCCACACACACACACACACACACACACACACACACACGGTTGTTCCTGCCTGGGCAACAGAGTGAGACCCTATCTCTTAACACACAAAACACACTGTCTCTCACACACACACACACACACACACACGCACACCCTCTCTGTTGTTTTAAGCCACTAAATTTTAGAGTGATTTGTTAAGCAGCAATAACTAACAATGTTGTGAATATGTGGAAGTGTTTTTTATATATTTGAAACACTTAAGAGTTTGGTTTCAAAAAACACTTCTTGTTCCATTTCTAATATTTAAATGTAAGTGATGAAAGTAAAATCTTTTTGAATTTGGAAAAAAGTAATTACCTCTGTTCCACTGCATGTTTTCCCCAAATCTGTCTTATAGCCCCTGTATTAAAAAAAGGCTGATTTTAACTCAGCAAAATTAATCAATTTAGACATGTTGAGCCTACTGACAAGTAACAGCAATCACTTGTATTCAAAGATACCTAACTGTTCAAAATTTACCTAACTGTTCAAATCTGATCATATTAAAAGGAGTTAGAAACTACTGAATTATAAAACCAAGTGATAATGTGTTATCCAAGTACAATTTCAAATTCAACAATAATCCCTCTGGAGGTAACAGCATCCACAGCATCAGGTAAAATATCCTGGTTTGCCAACCCACTGACATAAATACCAGCAGCTACCAAATCTTCACTTAACACATAATCACCAAAAATGTAAATGCATCCAGCCTATGGAAACATAGTTCCTATCCACCCCATCAAGAATTTGGAAACAAAGACTGTTTTTTTTGACAAGGCGAAAAGCAACAGATCACAGAAGAGATGCACAAAGTTTGTTTTAAAGAATGATTTGGCAGTAAGAGGATTAAACGATTTGACAATTCCAAAAGAAGATAACAGGAATTAGGAACTGGTCCAATAAAAGCAAAGGAGAGCCACGGAGTCAGATGTAGCCAGTATTATCCAGTTGAGACATTTAAGGGCAGGGCACCCGATGCACAAAGAAGCCTATCCTTATCAAAGCAATTAATGCATCTGGTTAGATAGTAGCTTAGTTACAGGAGACACTAAAAACGCCCAAGTAATCTCCCTGGCTCCAAGCTACCTTTTTAGAGGAACCAGCTTCCCCATATAGCCAACCATGCTAATCACCAAACACAGCTTGTTTGGTGTGTATCCTTGTCCATCTAAGAGTTGTTTTGCTTCTTTAAAAAAAAAAAAAAAAAAAAATCAGTAGACTGCATTTTGGTTTTCATACATTAGTCTCTTGTTGTCCTGGTTAGCGTGGGGTCAATATCATAACCCAATCATCTGAATTAGTAATGAAAGTCCATTTCAAGATCTAGGAATGGGGAACCAAGACTTGGGGAGTC